CGCATATGACAAAAAGAGAAGATGTACTACGACAAGATGGAGGCAGCGGGGTACAAATTCACCCTGGACACCACTCAAGGCAATGAAGCTGCAGGGCGATGGAACCGCGCGAAGGAAGCAAGCAAGACGATCCAGGAGGAATACAAGCAGGAGAAAGGCTGGAAGGCACAGAAGGAATACAGGGCTAGGTGGGCAAAAAAATGCCACTTAGATTGGAAGAAGGATGTGAAAATGGAGAAGGGTGAGAGCATGGAGAAAGAGGAGGCTGCTCTGGGGGAATATTGCACGCTTGGACGGATCGCGTGGCTAAAGGGGGGTGGGCCAACTGGCCTAGCCATTGCAATTAAATATTGCACTAGTTGTGCGATCATGGGCGGGATCTACACAAGATACTGTGATCTGGGAGGCATCCTTGAATTTCTCCTCGTGCGTCACCAACTGAACGACAGATTCACGAGAAGGTGGACTCGCACTGAGAAGTGGTTGAACGAAACGGCTCTTGAGGATGGGGCGGCGGCGGCCAGCAGAGAGAGAGGTGCAGACGACGACGAAGAAGAGGAACCACCGTCTAAGAGGAGAAAGATCGAGGATCAGGAAGAGGAGGGCGCAGCGGGCTCCGACGAAGAGGGCGACAAACCAAAGAAAGACAAGAAGGATAAAGACACTGCGGACAACGAGCAGAAGACTAAAGACAGTGAGAAAGGCAAGAAGACCAAAGAGGTTGGCAAAGAAAAAGACAAAGACGGTGGCAAATCAAAAGGCGGCGTCAAGGAGAAAGACTGTGGCAAGGCGCCTAAAGAGCCTAAAAAAAAACACCAGAGTGGCTGACCAAGTTCAGAGCCGTGAAGCAGGCATACACGCAGGCCCTTGGTGAGGTATCCAAGGTGGAGGCTCTCATTAAGACCGACAAGTCCTGCGAGAAGCTGAATAACCTGAGGAAGCCGATGGACGACCAGCTGAATAAGGCGCCTTGATTGGCGTGCCGATCGTCCATGGGCTTCCCATAGCTCGTCAGCTTCTCGCGCCCGCCCCTCCTGCCATTAATTCGGGAATTTGATACCTCGAAGCTGCCTGTCCACCTCCACCGTTCAGCTCGTCCGCCGCGCGTGCACCCTGGAGTTCTTCGGGCCCCTCGCCCCGCATCCTGAGCCCGTGGGCGTGTTTAAATCATCTTCTCGTCGTCTGATTCTCTTCCTTGGCCTCCCTCCTTCTGCTCACCTCTCCTTACAAGGTATCCTATCTCATGGTGCTCCCCGCCCTCCGTCCGTGCCCAGGTGCAGAGCCTGTTTGCCAGCGAGAGCCTGCAGAAGATGATGGTCACGGATGAGGCCTCGTACAAGAAGCAGGCGCGGCTGGATGAGCATTCGAAGAGGGACGAGGCGGGGATGTGAGGATTTGGGGAAACCGATTGGAGGGTGTAGATTTTGAGAGGGGCCATTTCGCCATGACTTCCAGAGCCCAGGACAGCGGTTTCGGGTTTAGAAACGCCCCCCCCCCCGAAAAAAAGCGGCCTCCAGGTGACTGCAGCTGAGTTTGAGACACAGTGTGGCAAGGTGGCGGGCTGGAAGAAAGACATCGAAGAGCTTCTCCTGGAAGCAAAGGTTCTAGTCCGCCAGGCTTGGGCGAGAGACGAAGAGGAGATGCGTCTGCGCGAAGCTGCGAAGCCCAAGGGATCAAGCGGCAAGAAGACTGCGATCAAGAAGGACAAGAAAGAGAAGCAGAAGAAAAGTGAGAGCCCGAGCGACTCGGACTAGGAGGCCGAGGAGAGGAGAGGCGCTGACGGCAGGAAGCCCCAGGAGAGGCGCAGGCGGAAGCTCGAAGAGAGGCGCCGCAGGCAGAAAGCCCGAGGAGAGACGCTGGCGGCGGGAAGCCTGAGGAAGGCTGCTCGAGGCAGGAGGCCTGGAGCGCAGGAGGCTTGCGGAGGAGCGAGGAATTGAGGAGGGGTTCTGGAAAATGGGATCCGATCCAGGGCCGATCCAGGAAAAACCTGATCCGACGTGGTTTTCACCGAAAATTCCATCCGCCCAGCCGCCCATGTACCGGAGGAATTACGTAGGAATGTTGGGCGGAGGGAATGCGTAGGAAAGAGGAGGAAACCATATATATATATATATATGTAAAAAAACGACAACGTAGGAGAAACATGTACCGGAGGAATTGCGAAGGAGTTGCGTAGGAGTTTGGGGGGCCTCTTTGGGGAGAGGGGATTTCTGGCGGGGAAGCGTTCGCGAGCGGCCCGATTGGGCCCCAGCCGAAAATTCAAACCTTCGACGGCTGTGACTCGTGCCAGGCGCTGAGGCTGCAGCTGCTGAGGAGGGAGGAGAGCCAGGCGGCGGGAGGCACGCGAGCGCGAGGCAGCCGAGCACTGAGCATTCCCTGCTGTGGACGGGGCCGCATGGGACAGTGCGAGCGGGTGCCCAGGAAAATGAGAAGGCAGATCGTAGAACGTAGAGCTTCGGAGAGTGGGCGTGGGGCCCATGCGAGGGAGGAGGGCGGGAGGAGCAGTGATGGGAGGGGGAGGGGGGGGAGAGGAGGAGGAGGGGGGGGGAGGAGAGGAGGGGGAAGAGAGGAGGAGAGGAGGTTGAGATGCCAGAGAGAGGGAGAGAGAGAGAGAGAGAGAGAGAGACGAGCGTTTGTATTTGCAGCAGCAACGTTGGCTCAATCTAAGATGGCGCCCAAAAAAAAGCAATGGCGCCGCCGCTCGAAGGCAGCCCGAGGAGTGCCAAAAAGGCAGTACATACGCAATGAGGCTGGAGAGGAGATGCGGCTTGCTGGAAGCAAGGCTTTTGAGATCCTGCTAACTGTATGGGCCTCGTGCAAAAAGATATCAGCTAAAGACTTTTGTGTTGTCTGTGGTTACCTAGCCCAATGCAATGTGCCAGGAGGAAGATGGTCAACTTTCGGTCTTCCGCCCGATCTTGAATCGGGCAGATACAAAAAAGAGATGGACAAACACTTGCCCAGCGGAGGGCCATTCTACGCTGCTCGAGTGCCAGCGTTCCTGAGCAAGGCTTCGCATGAATGCAGCAAGACGGTCCTATTTAGGCAGGTCTTCCACTCGATCGCAGCAGAAGTCGAGGAGAATAAAGACATTCAAGAATCGTTGAGGTACGGTGACACGGGCGATTACAGCAGTTTCATGTCCAATAGGGTGTACCAAGAACACCCCCACGTCCAGGAGTGCCTACACGAGGGAGGAGGTTACCCACTGCCTTTGGCAGTGTACATGGATGGTGTAAGGTACACGGCGCAGACGGCTGGTCGAAACGAGCTCTCGACTGCGTCAGCTCCGCCGCCCCCTCACCCACCCGCCCCTCGCCCCTTCACAAGTACACGCGAACAACACATACAACCATTCGGCGTTAGCGATAACCATGCAGCTCACGCGCCAGGGTGCTTTGTAAATTCAGAGGGAGGGCAGCATCTTGGACGTTTCAATAATAAATATGATATCAAAAAAGAGACATCAACTCGGCTTCATGAAGGTGAGCGAAATGTGCGGGTGTGGTTGTGGCGGGCACTGCTCCATATACTCTATGATGCAGGTTGCGTCCTTCCAGCTGCAATGCCTCATAAAGGGCTCGGTGCCAGACAAGAAACACGACGGGTCAGACTGGGAAGCATGGGAGAAACCCACCACGCAATTTTCGTTCAGGAGCGTTGTCGTGCTGCTGAAAGGCGACTGGGCAGAATTCGCCAAATCCATGGGCCTAACTGGGTGGGGGTGCGTGCACGACTGCTGTCCGATATGCCCATGTTCTAAGGATGGGCTGCCGATCGTGGACGGCGAGTTTTTGAACAACTGCGGTTTGCTGTGGGAAGATAGATCTGAGGAGGAGTACGAAGAAACGTGTAAATCCTTCGAGCACGAAGTAGTTGTGGGTACAGAAGAAACGCGCAGGAAGCTGTGGGCATTGCTGGTGCCAGTGAAGAACAAAGGCCTCCTGTTGAAAGCCGATTGTCCGCCCTTAGGCTTGCTGGAAGGTGACCGTCTTGAGCCGTCTCCTGAATGCCTGATACCTCTCGAGTTTCACAAGGTACCCTTGCCCTTCAAAGCTGTGTTCTGGCGACCGAGATGCGATTGCCTGGGGCGGAAACTAGGCTCAGTTACTCACAGGTCCCCCCTGTTCAGCGCGGCGCTCGGGACATCGCCAGTGCGGTCGCTCGCGCTAGACACGTTGCACACGGTGCACCTTGGATGCATGCAGAGGTATGTCAGCGCGGTCTTGCGCAGACTCACGTTTGCAAATCCTTGGGGTGCGCCGCGATCAACGGTTTGGAACCGACTTGAGGCAGAACTCATGACATATTATGAGGAGGAGGAGGTGCCGCATGAAAATAGGATCGGAACGCTGAACGAGAAGATGTTTCCAGGAGAGGAGTGCGCCTGCTTTGGAGGAGGAATTTGCAAGTTGAAAGGTTCGGAAACCTTCCAGATTCTGAAGTTCGCAGTCAACAAGTTGAAGTATCATGTAGGATCGGGCTGCGAAGTCCCGCATGGAAAGGAGCTCGTTGAAGCAGGTGAGGCCCTGCTTACTTGGATGCGGGTTTACCACTCCGCGAAGTCTAAGCCGACAGTGTCGGAGTACCAAGTGTTGCGCGAGAGTTGCGTCGTTTTCCTGGTGAACTGCGACCTCGCTAAGATCCACTTCACTCCGAAGTTCCACCTCTTCGGGCACCTGACGAAAAGGAGCATGGGGTTAAAAACTTGAACCACTGGAAGCATTATAAGGAGGAGAAGGGGAGGATGAGGAGGAGGAGGAGGAGGAGGAGGAGGAGGAGGAGGAGGGAGGGGGAGGAGGAGGAGGAGGAGGACGGGTCAGGGAACGGGAAAGATGCTAAGGATGAACAGGGAAGGGGGGCATGAGAAATGAAGGGGGGGGTTCTTGTGCACCCCTAGGAGCGAATACATGGGGTCGCCTTCAGAGTGCGACACTTTCGTGGATGAGTCTCTAAACTATCTTTTGAGGCTGCGCGCAGAACGGTCCCACAGGGCCACCATGGAGAAATCAGTGTTCCAATGTTTCGAGGTCCTCGGCCGCATGAACACAGTCACCCACTTGTGCGGTAACATCCAGGATGGCGACCCCAGAACCAGGAATAAGCGGCCCAGAGAGGATTGGTGCCAGAGGGTTGATGGCATATATAGCAAAGCATTCCTTCGCAACATTCCTACGCACGACATTCCTACTCTAACTCCCTCGCTCACTTTCCCACGCACAGCATTCCTACGCACTCACTTTCCTACGCAACTTCAAACTCCTACGCATCCACTTTCCTACGCAACTCCTTCGCAACTCCTTCGCCTCCTAAAGAGAAACACATAATAACTCCTACGCAACTCCTTCGCAACTCCTACGCTCCCAACTCCTACGCTCCCAACTCCTACGCCTCGAATTCCTGCGCTCCCAATTCCTACGCGTAGGAATGTCGAGCGTAGGAATGTGTGCCGTAGGAATGTTGAGCGTATGAATTTGCAACGTAGGAGTTCTGACCGTAGGAATGTTGACCGTAGGAATGTGGTGAATTCTCTATATGCAGCCGCGCTCGGCTGAACCCTGGCTGCGCTCCAGCGTGCGGCCGCGGCCGTGCGACGCCATGCAGGCGGCGAGCAGCGCTGAGGGAGGAGGAGGATCTCGAGGAGGAGGAGGAGGGGCCAATGAGCAGAAGAAGGATGCCGAGGCGAGGAAAGAGGTCGAGTGCCCACCTGACATCACTCCTCAAGCAATGGCGCTCGCGCACGAGATGCTGGCGAAGTTTAGGAACGAGCTAGACGAGAAGAGGGAGAGGGCTAAGCCGCAAGAAGATATATCCTCGAGTACATCAGATGCCGACGACGATGGCAAGAGGTCGCCAGCATGTTCGCTTGACTGGGACGAGGAGAAGCCAGCGGAAGAGGCAGCTCGAGATCTAGAGGAGGAGGGAAATAATAAGGAGAAACACAAGAAAGCTGAGAAGAAAAAGGAGAAAAAGAAGTCGGACAAGAACTTGAGGCGCATTTTCGATGACATCGTTGCAAGGGGGGAGAAAAAAAAACAAGGCGCCGCGAGGAGACCTCGCGTTTGAAGGCCGAGGATGCGGAAGAGCTGGAGGCTAAGGTCCGCATCGCATCCTCCTTGCCGCCCCTCCCATCCCCCCTGTCATCCCTCCTCCTCGCCTCGCCCTGTCATCCCAAAGGTCGCCGAGCAGCGGATGGACGACAGCAGCTGGGACACTCGGCGAGATTTCACGACCATGCGCTTGATTTTAAGGCCGAAGGCAACCCTGAAGCGAGACAATGACAAGGCCATGAGGGGCCCAAACTACATGATGGCTTGGGACCGCGAAGAAGATGAGGTGCTCAACGTGAAGATCATCTCGAAGGAAAAGGCCTTATTAGAGATCATCGCGTCGCACGCGGGAAAGCCTGGAGTTGATGAGATGTTCGGTTTAATTCGGGAGTTCGGTCGACGATTGGATGAGCTCTATCATGACAATTTCGTGTTCCCTGCGATGAAGAGCGCGAAGAGAACCCGTGAGCAAGAGAAAAGCGGGGGGCGGTCGATCAAGTCAGTGGAGGAGGACGAGGAAATTCTGCGCCTTCCAGTGGATCCCGAGAAGGAGATCGATATCGCCACGCAGCCAGCTGAGCAGGTGGAGGCAGCAGAGCGCGAAGTGGCAGATGAGAAAGATAGGGAGAAGAAGAAACGCAAGAAAGAGCCGAAGCAGGCGAAAGAGCGCAAGGAGGCAGAGAAGAACGACCTCGAAGAGCCAGAAGCCATAGACGACACGGGGGCACCAGCTAAAGCAATGCCGTGCAAGGATAAGCCGCGGGAGGAGGACTGGACGAGCAGGGTGCCCAGCTGGGAATCGCAGGGCCAGGGCTGGTGGGCAAAGGACTCACAGCGCCAGGGCTGGTGGGCAAAGGACTCCTCACAGCGCCAGGGCTGGTGGGGATCAAGCTCGAGCTCATACTGGCCCGACAGGAGGGATGAGCCCGCCTAGAGGAGGAGAGGAGAGGCGAAGAGGCGAGTAGGCGAGGAGGCGCGGCGAGAGGCGAGGCGAGGAGGCCAAGCGAGGAGGGTGAGGGCGAGCCGAGGCGACACGGGCGAGCTGAGAGAGCCCATGCCCGCGCAGCCATGCGACGTACTTGCGCGTGGCGTCGCCGCGGCCAAGGAAAGGTATGCTCTCCTCACCCGCCCCTCGAGCTCCGTCAGGTTCCTCATCTTTCTCCTCATCCGAACCCTCCACGTCTGGCTCCTCCGCTCTTTTTTTTCCCGCCACCCCCCACACTCGAGAGGAGGAGGGCTCGCTGAACTGGCGAGGCGGCAAGTCAAGGGAGCCTGCCGAGATTGAAACCTGAGTGAGAGAGAGGTGGAGAGAGAGAGAGAGAGAGAGAGAGAGAGAGAGAGAGAGAGAGAGAGAGAGAGAGAGAGAGAAATAGAGAGAGAGAGAGAGAGAGAAATTGAGAGAGAGAGAGAGAGAGCGAGAGAAGATACCCTCTAAAAGGAGAGAAAGGGAGGACTATATATAGAGAGTTTTAGAGATAGAGGAGGGAGAGTGAGAGATTCGAGAGAGCGGTACTGAGATAAGAACTGCCAGAAAGTCTAGAGGGGCGGAGCGATGAGCGAGGAGACTGCATGTTGTTTCCCTCCCTTGCACCGCCGACGCCGCTCCTGGCTCGAGCGGTTTCGCGATCCGCCAGATCAGAGGAGGGGCAGAGGCAGGATAACGTGGATTGGGAGATGGACGAATCCAGCGACGAGTCCCCTTTCGCAGAGATCAGCTTCTGCATATTCACGATGCGCTGGATCGTGCTGGACATCTTCTCAGCGAGGAACAGGGCTCAGTGGAGGCCCTTGGCCGAAGAGGACCCACTGGGTCCAAAGTCCTTCCCATACTCTGGCTCCTATATAACGATTCCACTCCTACTCGATCCCGTTCTCCCCCTACCTCCTCCCACGTTTAGTCCCATCGGCCCCGCTGAGGGCCGTCTTCGGGCCCGATGTTGGCGTAATCCGAGTAGGCTTCGAAGCCACAGGAGGGGGGGCGATCATCTCATTCGCGCGGGATGCGATGACGGGGGGATGGGGACACCCCAAGGAACTTCTCCTGCTGAAGGAAGACTTCAGGGCCCTAGGAGGCCCCACCGAGAGCGTCCCACAAAGCCCTCGTGAGCGGGAGGTCCGCGCCGCGCAGCGCTTCGAAGTCAACAGAGCGCTGACGATGGTGCCAGCGTTCATGGTGGCCTCGATCGCGCACTGGCAGGACGAGATTCGAGCGTGCTATCCCTTCGGGACTTCGCTCAAGGACCGATGGGGGAGGGAGGGTGGGGGGTTTGCGAATCGGAGGAAGGAGAACGGGGCAGTTAGGTGGAGAGGGTGGCGAGGGAGGACGTGGAGGTGTTCCAAATCCCAGATATAGGACTGCATGGACGCGGAGGTGACGCGGCTCGTCAGGACGCTGCCACCCGCACAGAGGCACCAGGTGGAGCAGCGCTTGATTGATGAGGGGTTCAACCATGCGGCGGCGGAGTTCGAAGCGATCGTCGATCAGGCGAGGCAGGCTGGTCTCGACGCGATCGTGCGCAGCAGGGCTGCATTCGAGGGCTTCGAGGACAGGCCAAGCCCGAACGGGCCGTGAGGCCACGAGAGGCCAGGAGAGGCCAGGAGAGGCCAGGCCAGGAGAGGCCAGGCCAGGAGAGGCCAGGCCAGGAGAGGCCAGAGGAGAGGCCAGGAGAGATGCCAGGAGAGAGGCCAGGAGAGAGGCCAAGAGAGGCCAGAACGACAAGCCAGGAGAGAGGCCAGGAGTGGCCAGGAAGAGGCCAGGAGAGGCCAGGAAGAGGCCAAGAGAGGCCAGGAGAGGCCAGGAGAGGCCAGAAGAGGCTAGGAGGCAGGGGGCCAAGGAGGCCGCAGGAGATGCGGCCAGGAGAGGCCAACAGAGGCGAGGAGGCCAGGATAGGCCAAGAGAGGCCAGGCCTAGACCTCGCGCGTGCCACGCGTGGCGCGCTCGATCGAGCGGCGGTGAGCAACAAATGCCTCCTCTCGATCCCTTGTGTTGTTTTTTCTCTCTCTCTCTCTCTCACACACGCACACACGTATTCTCTCTCTCTCTCTCTCTCTCTCCTGCTTTTCTCTCCTCCTTCGCTCTCCTCTATCACTGACCTCGTTGCAAACCGACGGTTCGAGGACCTTAAGAAACGCTTGAGAAGGCCCGATACGCAACCAAATTGGCGGCACCCCTGTGTGTTTCCTAAACTTCTCAACGCGGCAACGGTATATAGTGATATCACGCAAACTATGATATATAAAAGGCATATAACCACAAAATAGAAGAACGTATAAACTAAAACCTAGAACCTAGAACCTAGAACGTAATCACATTTACATGCACGTTCTAGGAATTAGAACCTGCAACCCTCTGGGTCGCGAGTCGGCTAGCCCAGAAACTTATTTGACCTGTGGAGCACCTGCGTCAGCGAGGACAGGGCGGGGCTTGCCTCTTGACTCTTGATGGGCCCCCCATTCTGGAGGCTGGCAGCTGGCCGCGCTTGGGACCAGAGGGCAGCGCGTCAGCGACGCCGACGATTGCAGCGCGGCTCGCGAGCTGCTCGGCCAGGACCTGGCTGCGGCGCTTGCGGCCGGCCGTTGCAGGCGTCGAACTCGAGGCGCGGTGGACTAGCTGTCCACGGCTTTTCTTGTCCGTGGTGGTCCGGTACGCCTTGCAGGGGGCGCCGAGGCGCTGGTTGCGGCTGCGCGGCGCGAGGGCGCGGCCAGGTGCCCTTCCGAGGCCGACAGGCGGCGGCGGTGCCTTGCTGGAGGGCCGCTGCCCTGGCACGGCAGGGCGGCTTTGCGCCACCCCCGCCGTCGCGCCCGCGACAAGCGCAGCAGGTGGGCGCGGAGCGGGCGGCGGCAGTTGCCATCGCGTTGGCGCAGCGTTGGGGCGTCGCCCCGCGCCGCGCGACGCCGGGGCAGCTGCGGACCGCCCCCGGAGCGGACCGTGCTGCCAGAGCAGCTGGGCTGCGCGCGGCGGCCGGCTGAGCCGGTTCGGGGACGTGCTGGAAGAACTCCGCGCCGTCGTCACGTCGCTCGTGGGCATCCCGGGTGGCGTCGGGCGCGCGGGCGCGAGTAAAGACTCGGTCGCGGATGCACAGGAGGAGGGGGTGGTGGAGGGACATTGCAATACAGGAGGAGGAGGATTGTGATGAGAAGGAGTGGGCGTTCCCAAAGAAGCGCGCACCCCACCCCTTCGGTAGGTGAGGATTGTCTGGGGTGGAATGCTCAAGTGTGTGCTCGCGCCGCCTGGGCCCCATCCCCCTCAGAACCTGTTCCGCGTGCGCTCGAGGGGAGTGTTCCCGCATCCGCTTTTACGCCATATTCCCGCATCCGCGTCCGTTCGAGGGGGTAAAAAAGAGAAGCGTCATGCATCGCATCCTCGGGGGTCTCGCTCCGCGTCTGGTCGGTCAGCGTTTCGCTCCTGAGGTGGCGCCTCGATGTGCGTTTGCGGATCCCGAGTCGGCCGAGGTCTCGCTCCGCGAGTGGCGGGGGATGGGTCTCGTTCAGGGACGGGGTTGGCGCTTCGCTGCGCGAGTGGGCGCGCTCGCTTGGGCCATCTTGGAGCCATCTTAAGGCCTCGGATGGCCATCGGAAGCGAAAAGGCGAGAACGCCAAACACATTGATTTCCCTAAAGTTTTGGACGGATTTTAGCCTCTTGGGGCCTCCTGGGGGAGCGCTCTTTGGCCACTTGGAGCCGGCTTGGAGCGGTCTTGGGGCATTTTGGAGCATCGTGGGAGCCATTTTGAGGCATCTTTGGATATCTTGAGCCATCTTGGAGGTCATCTTGGCCTCTCCCAGGTGCTCTTGGAGTCATCTTAGTCATTCCCCCCCCCCCCAAAAGGCCAACATGTGGCTAAAACCTTAGTAACATCAATGATTCTGGCATTCTCACCATTGCCTCTTGTAGCGTCTGGGGTGACTCTGGGGGGCCTCTAGGGGCCTCTTGGGGGTCTCTTAGGAGCCTCTTGGGGGCATCCTGGGGGCCTCTTGGGGGCCTCTTTGGGCCTCCTGGCCACCTTTTGGGGCCCTCATGGGGCACCCTTGGGACCATCTTTGGGCCATCTTGGGTGAGATCGATCAGAGGAGGGGGGGTCCCCAATTAGCCTCCCCTCCCCAGAAGACCAACATGGGGCCAAAACCTAAGTGAAACCAATGATTTTGGCTTCCTCGCCGAGGCCGTTTTGGACACTCCAACTACCCGCGGAACCCCCCGTCCAGGTCCAGGGGAGGGGGTAGGGGGAGGGGCAAACCCCTCCCCGCAGGGGAAGAAGGGGGTTGGAAGAGGAAGCTACCTAGACCACCTACGCCCTAGTGGGCTGGTGGAATGTGTGTGTGTGTGTGTGTGTGTGTGTGTGTGTGTGTGGGGTTGTTCACATGACTTTCAGGGTCGTTCGGAGGCAGAACGCTGTCATGTTGTTACATATAGAGGTCGAGGACGGGGGAGGGGGAAGAGGAGGGCCAGTGTAAGCCCACGGCGCATCAACGATGTTGCAATGAAACTTCCCTTGAGCTCTGTCTTCGAAGGTCCTTACGATAATTTGCTATTATGTCTGGAAGCGGCCCATTGAAAGACAACCGTCCGAATAATTCAAAACAGGAAGGATTTTGACAATCCTGATTCGTGCCAGATCGCCATTCTTGGGACTTTACCACCGCCAACAACGTGACCCTTGCGACCTGACATTTCTAAGTCGGGTCAGGATGCAATTCATGGGGCTCCAACCTCATGAATCCTTTAAATTGTTGCAAGCTTTTAAGACGAATGCGCTTGGCGCCAAGGCGAGAGAACCGGCCTCCAGCCTTGATATTGCTTGCAAGTTTTCGGACGAATTTGCGCGACACGAAGGCGACAGCTCAATATCGAAAACGATTATCCCTCCATCTTTGAAGTTGCTGCAGACTTTTAAAACGAATGCGCGTGGCGCTAAAGCGAGGGCTTCTTTTTGAAAACGGCCCGCTCCCCATTTTTGAAGTTGTTGCAAGTTTCAAGCTTCAGGATCATACGTGCTGGGGAAGTCTGAGGCGAAACGCCCTGCCCAGCCTACGCACACGTCTGGGGTGCGACAGGGAAGGGGAACGGATGGAGGAGGAGGAGGAGAAGGACCAACAAAGAAGGCGGGATGCGGAGGAGGAGGACGACGACGAGGACGAGGACGAGGACGACGAGGAGGAGACAGAGGAGGTGGAGGACGACGAGGAGGAAGAGGAGGAGAAGGAGCAGGCTCAGGAGGAGGAGCAGGAGGAGGAAGAGGAGGCGGCGTGAGGCGTGAGGAGCACAATAAGGCAGGGGCCCCCCCGCCGCCAGGCCGACGACTGTGCCCCTGCGGCCGCGGCGCTTCCAGTTTCCGCAGCGGTGGGCGCGCGCACGGCCCAGGCGCGCAGGCGCCCGGTGCTCAGGCGCGTGCCCGCTCCGTGCGCGACCGCCGTGGCGGAGGGTGGAGGGGGGGGGGGCAGGGGAGCGGGGGGAGGGAGGGAAGGGAGGGAGGGGAGCGAGGAAAGAGAAGGAGGCAGAGAGAGAGAGAGGAGAGAAGGAGTGAGGGGAGGAGAGAGGAGGGGGAGGAAAAAACGGAATGTGATGGATTGGTCATCGCGAAGCGAAAGATGCCATCAAAGAGGGATGAGGCTTGTGGCTCGTTGCTCCGACAACGACGAGAGCTTGGGCCAGGTCCCATCTTCGATCCTGGATCCGTATTCCCGTCGAGGCTATTTAGTTTTATGAGTACATTCGACTGCAAGGTCTTGCATTTGCTCGGAAGAATAAACTCTGCATCCTCCGCAATGCCAGAGATTCAGGTTACTGCGGGTTCTTCGGTTGTGTGATCAATGCAGCCCCCCCCCCCCCCGCACAGTGGATTCGGCCCCCAGGGGGAGTTCTTAAAACCACACCATCAGCAGACAGCAATTGGAAACAAGGAGTACTAAGCCATTCGGTGAGCTCCTTTTTCGTGGCGGACCCTCGGCATCTCTCACATTTCTGGCCAGTTTCTCCAAGACAGGGTGCGTTGCCAAAACGGGCAATCGTGGTCTTCATCCTGACGGGGTTTCGGATCGGCAATCATCGAGTCCAGCTAAGTCGTTCGTTGCCGATCACTTTCCACATTTCCAAGCCTCGCGCTGCTGCTCTCTCTTTTCGACAGATGCGAATTCATGAAACAATCATGGACCTCGCAGTACTTTACTGCTTGTATGTGCTGCCCAATAGCTTCCAACAGGTCTCTGTCAGCCTGGGCAACCCTCGGTTCACGATATGTTTGACTCCCCCATCTTTTCTCGACCCCTCGCTAGCTGTAGGATACGTGGGTGGCCTTCTGGTGCTTCGACTGACGTTTTCAAGCACCGCGACCTCGCCTCGATACAGCGTCTGCCGCTTGCCTGCCAGAGGTCCATGTGCCTCCAGTGCTAGACGAACTGGTTCGGTGCTCTCGACGATGGTGAATACAAGACTTCAACACCGCGAATCAATGTAATCCTTGAGCCTGGACAGTCCTGAACCGCTCCAACCAATATTTTCTGAAGAGTTACGCATGCGAATCCGAGAAACTAATGCAATGTTTTTGAACGAACATGCGCGGCGTTAAGGCGAGAGCCAGATTTCGAAAAGGAACCATCCTTAGGCCGTGAAATTCTTGTAACTGCTTACGACGAACGTGCACGGCGTTAACTCGAGAGGCACAAGTTGAAAATGAACCGCCCTCATTCCGTGAAACTCGTGCAGTTGTTCACGACGAATGTGCGCGGTGCTGAGGCGAGACTGGACTGGACTGGAAGGAGCCGCGCCTAGACGGCGCATCGGCAATTCATGCATTCTTGCAAAGTTGAAAGCCGCCCGCCTTCAATTTATGAAATTCTTGTAAATGATGTGCGCGGCGCGAAGGTGAGAGCAACTTGTTGAAAGCCACTCGCCCTCAACTTGTAAACATGCTTTCAATTCTGAAGTTTCAGGGCATAACTGGTGAGGGAGTCTCAGGCGGAACGCCGGGCCGGCCCTTTCGACCAGCCTCGGGGTGCGACAGGGAGGAGTTTCTTAGAAGGGCAAGGAATAGAGCAGGAGTAAGAGGACCAGCGTCTTAGCCACCTCTCATGCCGCTCAGCCTCTCAGCCACCTCTCAGCCACCTCTCAGCCACCTTCCGCCATTCTCGCGCCAGCTACTCTCCATCTCTCCATCCCCTCTCAGGCTTGAGCTTTCGTCGCAGATGTTGTCCGCCGTTCCGTCGTACCCCCTCCTTCCATCCTCTCTTGCACCTTCCAAGAGTAGGAGGAGGTCCTGCCGCGCCCCTACTCCTGGAGGGTGCCCTGGATCATCCAACTACACATGTTCTCCAACTAGGCTTAGCTATAGGAGTACTAACTCAAGCCACAGAGAACTCGTTCACTGCTCCTTCCCCTCTTTGTTTCACCAACCTAGTACAATGGCTTCCTCTGCCAGTGCAATGCCTTCCTCTGCTTTTGCGATGGCGTCCTCTGTCGATGTCAACGCATCCCAACAATTGCCCAACAAATGTCAAACTCATGAGTCGAGTCGACTAGACCAGAGTATAGTATTGAATAGTTGATGAACAGAGTAGAGCCGAACCTGATTGAGCGAGTAAGAAACAGTGGAGTTGGGAAGAGAAGACCAGAGCACATTGTAATCTAGTGTAGGAACTACTTGTGCAGCAGCGTAAGTTTCTTGCATTTATAGAGTCGAGTGAAGTAGGAATGGAGTATAGTAGGGTAGAGTGGAGTAGAGCAGAGTCGAGCCAAGTGTAGCAGAGTAGGAATAGTAGGACTACGGTATGAGTCGAGTAGAGTGGAGTACATCAGAGTAGCGTGGAGTAGGGTCGGGAATGATCGAGTATGTTCGGTATGGTAGTGTAGGGTGGGATAGAGTAGGGTATTTACAACAGAGTAGGGTAGCGTAGAGTGGAGGAGAGTCCATTACAGTAGCTTTGGAGTAGAGTAGAGTATGAGTAGAGTAAGTAGAG